TCAGGCCAAGGAGGTCCGCTCTGCATTCGAAGGAGTGTGTAGAACAAATAACGCTCCAAAAGCGGAAGAGCTTTGACTACTGCTCGCCGCATTATCCGCAATGAATGGAAAATATGTTAGCAGCCAAACTAACAAAAATGACAGTCTGGTCGTGTCTGCTTGCTTTCGTACTTACTCGTGTTCCTATGTCTCGCTACACCCATGTGGCTGGATACGTATGTGTGTGTGTGTGTACGAATTTGTGCGGGTGTCAGCCGATATCCCATCACTTACACACTTTAAGCATGAATGCATGCATAATAATAATAAAAAGGATAACAATATAATCAGCTTAATGAGTGCGTTTTAAGTCAGATTTACACTTCCACCACTCGACACACACACACACAAGCACATTTTCAAAAGTGTGAGCACACACACTCAACCGTACTGTGCAACCTCTGCAGGGCTCATGTCACTACATTTTGCGTTGCTGTTGACGGTTTCGTGGTGACCTTAACGATATCAACTTCAAAGTCTTACAGTAAATGAATGCTTTTGAAACCGGCTGGATATTTGTATGTATGGCTGTCTGTCTGTTCCTCCGTTCGTTTGTCTCCTGTCGTTCTTTGATGGTGTCACAGCGCTTGTCCCGGTTTCGTTAAGAATGTTCCTTGGCAAAAAGGCAAATTCGTGAGGAATTATTCTAAAACCCAATGCCAAACGGAACACACAATTTTGTTTGCCACATATGATGACATTTCAACAGTTGAAAGAGGATCGATTGGTTCTTACTCTACCATTTCTACATCTTCAATATCAGTGGCAGTAAACAACAACAACAAGTTGTACTAAATAATAGGAAATGTTTATCAGTGCGAAGACCAGTCTCCATTTAATAGGCAACCAAATAAAAGTAAAACCACAAACATTTGTGAAGCACACTTCAACTACACCAAATTACTGTTTTTATTTATTTATTTATTTATTCCAAAAATGCAATTTGAAGCCATTAAGGCCGATTTCATTTAAATTGCAAACTATACTACTCCATTTAACAAGATTTCTTAATGATATCTTAGAAGGTATTATTCTAAAAATAATAATATATTTCAATATTTGGCAAGTGGCTAACTACTCAAGTAAGTGTATTAATATCACATATTCAATATTTAGTAATAAACAGCATTGTATAAAATATAAGAATTTAAATTTGTATATTATAAAAAAAAGATGTCATACTTTAGTTTAGGTAGAAAAATTGAGAACTACTCCAAAGAACTACTTCATTAGTCACGTGTCTTTATCAAATCAATTATTGAGACACCTGTTTAATAAGGGGGCCATTGACGATTAGATCAAGATAATTCGAAAAATCATGCTACCTTTCATAGTATGAGTACTACGCCAAATAAACACAGACTTATCAGCCGGGAATGTATGACTCAACCTTTGGGAACTCACTCAGGTAACTTATCTTCGGTTCTCAAAAGTTCGACGATAAACCATATAATGCACTATAGGTCAAATGACCGGGTTTTCTGTGCAAAATTGGAGAAAATCAAAGTGTCGTTATCCACAAGTTGTTGTTGTTTTTGTATTTAGAACACTCTAGAATAGAGACACGTGATATTTATTAGTGCTAAATATAAAGTACCGTTACATAGCTGGCCGTGCAAGTCGCTCAATACGATTTATTCTATAAATGTGCTTATATTTCTGTGGGGCTTAGTCAACTTTGAGTGCGTATTATTTCGATTGTGTTTACAATAATTAATTAGTGTAAAATGGAAAATATAGGTACAAGTGAGCATTTTTATATTAAATCAAAACATTTTTATGTTTGCGACACTATACTTGAAAATAACCCTTTAGTCTATGAAGAATTTAAAAAGTTAATGTAATTTGATAGATTGACTTTCAGTAGGCTCTTAAAAAAAATGACCCAATATGACCTCTTTGAAATTTTGCACACAAATTAAGTGATAAGTAATGAGTTAATTTATGTTTATTTCAAGTTGCGATTTTTTGCGTTTTACGAGTAATGCCTCTTTTATCTAGGCAACCTCCGTATAAAAAATCGAACTTTTTCAAATATGGCGAAAAGAAGGTAACAAAAAGAAAAAAACCTGGTGCTGTTTTCAAACATGTAGTGAGCAAAATTGCTGTCGACAACATTTCGGATGAAAGAGAGAAATTTTTAAAGCAAATAGTACATTAATTTTGCTTAACATTAGCGCAAAATTTGGAAAAATGTCACAGAAAGATGAATGTTTTCAAAGACAACCAGTAAGGAAATATCAAAAGTCAGACTGGATCGACTATATGATACTCTTTACCACTTTGGGTACAAACAAAAATGATAATGTGTACAATATCCTGTTGATAGAAGAGACATACCATCTTGGATGACCATTAACATGGAATCGGGTAAAAAACAAATGTGATCTATCTATTTGAGAAAATAAAAACCATACACATGACATTCTGAAATCTATAAGAAAATTGCATGCCAATCGCATAAATATTGAAAGTTTGGTGCACCATTTACCAAAAATCTCAATATGGACCGATTTCCAGGAAAACTTCATAGATGCCAAACTGGACTGAATTCAGTACGCTGTGCAAAATTATTGGGAGCTTGGTGCACTTTTTACATAAAATCGGACGAAACTATATATGTGTGCTATATATAAATTTGTACCGATTTCAACAAAACTTCACAGATGTCAAACCCGATTAAATTCCGTACGCTGTGCTACATTTTGTCCCAATCGGCAAACATTTTCAGTTTGGTGCACTATTTACCTAAAATCGGACGAAACTATATATGGGAGCTATATCTAAATCAGAAACGATTCCAACAAAACTTCGCATACATCAATCTGGACATAATTCAATACTCTGTGTAATATTTTGTCTCAATCGGACCAATATTGGCAGTATGGTGCTCTGGTTACATAAAATTGGACGAATCTATATATGGGAGCTATATCTAAATCTGAACCGATTTCAACAAAACTTGACACATACCAATCTAGACCTAATTCAATACTCTGTTAAAAATTTTGTCTAAATCGGACCAATATTGGCAGTATGGTGCACCATTTACATAAAATCGGACGAAAATATATATATGGGAGCTATATCCAAATCTGAACCGATTTCTTCCAAATTCAAAAATAACGATTCAAGTAACAAAAAAATCAGTTGGACCAAATTTCATGACGAATACTATGATTTTGTTGCCGCTATTAATTTTGCACAGAAAAAGTGGTTATTTGACCTATAGTGTAATGGAGGAATATCTTCAAGTGAAACATCCTTTGTATACGTCTTAAATTGTGCTGCGAATATAAATGAAGTGTCTACGAAAATTGCAAGTATTTTTACGCATGCATGAAAAAAGAGACAACAACAAAAAAATGGAAATGCGGCATCAGGCATCAATACTCAAATTGCAATGCAAATGCCATGGAGGCAAAAAAGCGAACAATGGAGACGAATTATCGAAGATAATCAAATCAAAATCAGAAAACAATGCCGAATGTCATGGAGAGCACTGAGACGCTGTGGCAAGCACTCTGGGGTATAGAATGTCAATGCAACGGAAGTACAAAATCAGCTCCTCTACAAAAAACAAACACCAGTCCACCCAAGTGATGCATACGTACATACACCGTAAAGTTAGTAACTAACGGACACTTCCCACCTCACAGGTGCACCAACAAGACTATTATTTTACGTCTGGTCATAGATTAGACACACTGTAAGAATGGATTGCGTTCCAAATATGTGAATCCTCAAATATCTTGCAGCCAAAAAGTAAACAATAGTATCAGTTTATTGCAAATTATTTTGAAGTTCACCGGTGTCGTCCTTATTCGTGCTGCGTGCTTTGTTGAACTTTGTTGCTTAGAATCAATTTAAGTTGATTCTTTTGTTTTCCGTTGCATGCTCTGGTACACCTCGCTACGCTCGACTACGCAAGCATCTCGAAAGATGCCAATCTAACCGATACACCAACAAGGCGCAAACAGCTCGGTATGCCATTAACATCCCCAGTGCCTCAGTCGATAGTTTGCGCGTTTCCGACGTATTTCTTGCCTCTGCCACTACCTTCAATTTCGTATTCCCTCCCCCCGATCTCTAAGACCAATGGTACAGAGATGCACACATCCATACATTTCCATGTTGTGGATGTCCTGTGGAGGAATTTTTATGAGCAAACATTGCAGCAGTAGACGCTACTTTAAATACGATGCCAAGCATTCTTTTATTCGTCTTGTTGACACAGCCCTACCGCCTCATCACATCATCAGCTAGCAGGATGTATTGTAAAAAATGTCCTTGGCATCATTACTCCAGACATTGACTAACTATGTACATTGAAATGTGTTGGAGCTGTTGTTTATCATCATGCACAGAGAAAAAACTGTTGTTGCTTTGGTAACAGTCTGAGGTACTGCGTCCGAACTGATGTCTTGTTGCACTCTGAGACAATGAACTCCACCGTCAGCACACACACAAATACAATACCCCCTATCCCTTTGCATGGATCACATTTTCGATTAATAAACAACTCGGGGGTAAAGGTCCAATATAGGAATTTCATTAAGGAATACCGAAGGTTTGGTGGAACAAAGTTTGAAGGAACACACCAGGAAATCTCAGTCTGACTCATATGAATACGACGTGAAGAAACAAATCATGAATCAAGTCCAAAGCTTTTGACACTTCATCCATTCGCTTACCACTAACGCAAATCATGCAGTGTATTAGTCACTCAAATCACATGTGACGCAGTTTTTATGAACCAGACGATTTTTTTACGACCAACATGGAATAATTCAATGCACGAATATCTCACCAGATATCGTACTGATAACGAACCATTACGGACTGATAAGAAACTTGATCGATATATCGATTGGTGACATCTCGACTCGGCCAGAAAGCCACATTTTAGTATTCATTTAGTTCTACAACAGCGTGTTGCAACCATTGGCGAAATCACCAAAATGACCAATGTTCTAAACGTTTTCGGTATAATTCTATTTGTTAACTGTTTGGCGTTTGGGCAAGCTGCTATACCCTGGAGTTGCCAGATTAACGCAACAGGACAGCCGATAAATGTCGAACAGGTACAACAATTTATAGCGCCTAGTGTCTATTGTACTAGTTGTAATCTTTCAGTTGTCAGGTGCCTGGTACGAAGTGGCACGATTGCCGCCAACTGAGGTCCCTGCCTGTTTGGAAGTTACCGCTCCCAATTCGATTGAGAAGGATTTATATACCTTAAAATTAGATTACGTGGATAACGTGAGCAATGGTTGGAAGCCAGTACAAGAGAAAATCGAATTTCCATGGGACGCTGAAACTCAAAACGGGAAATTCAATCTAACCTACAGTGGTTCCGATACGAACGTCACCGTCGATTTTGTTTATATGGGAACGTTAAACAACCTGACGGTGGTCTGTGGATATTCTGGCATAGCTCCAAGTGTATCGTTGATTCGAATTCTAAGCAGAAATAGAACCGTGGATTCCAAAATAAGAAGTGAAGTGGAAAATATCGTGACCGAATTTGGAATAGCCGCATCTGAAATGACCTGGGTGGAACAGGGACCAAAGTAAGTGTGGAAAATGGCTAAGCATTTCCAATTTATCCATTCTTTCCCTCTTCTCTCCAATTAGATGTAACAGTGGCTCTTTCCTTTCGTCGTCAATACTTGTAGTCCTACTGACAGCTGTATTAGTTTCCATGGGAAATATTATCCTCAAAAGAAGCCATTAGGCGGATTAGAGAACATTTTAGTTATAAGTCACCCTAAGACGCAGTTATGATAATACTACGGCGAACAATAATATTATCGATTACAGTGTATCTAAGCACCTTTATCATAGGAGCAAATCACATACGCATTCACACATCCGAGCAACCAAACACACCCAATAGAAACACACGCACACATATAACCGAAGGCGGAGGAGTAACCATCGGTGTCGTATCACCTGTGCCATTGTTATTGAACTCCTATAACGATTTTTGTTATCTTTAGCAAATAAAACATTCAAAATATGTACGTTTATTTATTATTATTATTTTTTTTTTTTTTTTTTTTTTTTTGTGCACAACAAAGTTATAATATTCGTCCTACTTGGCATTTTTGTTGTTTTGTTACAACTTTATAATTAATATGAATAGTGGCAATACCCAACTGATTTAAAATTGCATTTCGCATACTGTAACATTTTCAAAACAATTATTGGTCGGGTCGGGCGGCGAGTAGTAATGGAAATTTACAAATTTGCGAAATATATATACTTGTCTAGTGGTAAATTAGGAAACAAAAATGTAACTGTAATTACAAAAAGAGCTTATCAGACACTATACAATTAACCACACATAATAAACAATACATCCCATTATAACAAAATAACAGAAAAATATTAATGAGCGTCTTGAGTCATGTGCAAATTTCAATAATTGATAACTCTTTACAGCCCCAACAAACATAAATGGTGTTTTAGATATGCGATAAACAAATTCTGAATTCTGATAAAATAATGTACACAACAAGAATTAAATCGAATTCACGACGACGAATGTGGCAATGAAAAACCCGCGCAACTGAAACAAAAATCTGCCGCCAACCGTTGCGGTGTTAGTCAGTGTGAAAACACGAATGCCTTCTTACGAAGTATTCGTGCGCAAATACTAAAAATGAGTAAGGAATGAATGAATGAATTCTTGTTGCAGGAGAGCGGTGAACAAAAATGCTTGAGAGAGAAAATGACAAACAATATGTTGCAATGAACTTGTGGACTCTGCAACATGTTGAGAAGCAACATGCTGTTGTTGTGGAACCATATTGCCACCTACCCCAGGAACGAAAATACATTTGGTTTGAATTGCGAAATTCTTTGAAATTCTCTGTGCAGCTAAACGCAAAGATTTTCAGTAAAGAGAGGGAAAAAGTACAAAAATTCGGCGTAGTTATCTAAAATGTGTAGGTATGAACTGTGCAGTTAAACGTAATATATGAGGCTATGTACAAGACAACCAAATCAAAACTACTGTAATTCTGTAGATCCCCACCTGACATGGAGTCGGGATCTAGGACTGTCTGTACTACTATCGGACGAGTTTGACATACTTTCGGAACAATCAGGTGTCGCTGAGCTGGTAAGTGTAGCATTCAGTGTCCTCTTTCATTTGGACGCATGCATGGTATTGGCACCAGGTACTTATGAATGGTAGTAGTTAAGGTGGATATATACCTTACTCATGTGCTCGTGTAAAATTGACGTCCTAAACGGTTGCGATTTCTGTAAAAAAAAATCATCCCCAACATATAGCCATCGGAAACACACATAAAAAAATTAAATGTCCCTTTCACATTAAAATCAAGGGAAGGGGATAGCTATGGCAATCATAAACATAACAGTTTGTATACTACTAATTTTCTGTAATTGCGAAAATTATAAAAAAAGTGCCAGCGTTCATTACAAAGAAATACACTCGATTGGCATACCTTTACTTAATTGCGAAAAAAAGAAATATGTTCATTTCATTAATATGGACCAACATATAATAAATTTGTTCATAGGCTATTAGGGTAAATGTTCGTACACTCTGACCCCAGCAAAAATTCTGGACTGTTCAGTCCCGCATTAAATTTGTGTCGCAACTGACCCTATCAGTATACGGAAGCGTAATTGATTTTGACTACCATACTACCTTACGATCATGTGCACTGGCACTACCACCATACAACCCCGCAAGTTACAAACCGTAAAGTGTATATTGATCACCACGACATAAATATGCAAATGAATTTTCCATATATCAATCCTTTTATCCTCCAATATCCTCATACACATTTTGGAAATGATTGAAGTTTTGGATGCAGTAAGCAGCGAATTAAACCAAACTAAAAACTTTTACTTAATCATCGCAGGATTTATTTTAGACACACACACACACACAGTTAACGCCATATTGCACTTTCTTTATCTCAACGCTACTAGGATCCATCAGAATCCAAGCCAACATAGTTTCACGGCTTTGCAAGGCATGAATGCAAACGCATTCATAAACAAAAACCACCCTTTATAAGCCATTGCGGCAGGAAGGGGAGACAGTCCTTGTCAAAACAAAGAAACCTCTGAAAGAAGCTACAAATTCCTGGGCGTTCTGTTGTTTTTCTTTGTACTGCGCTCTCAATTTCGCAGTTGTTTTCCTTCTTATTTTTTTGTTTTTTGTTCACTTGTCTTCTTGTTAAGCTTGAGATGTTGATAAGTTTTGCTAATTAACAAAAATTTCGTTCGCTAATTAAATTCTTCGCTGGTGTAATGAGTGAACGAACTAACAGCAGCAAACTGGAATGGGCGCAGCGGTGGACCGGCGAATAGCCCACGGCCAACAAATGACTAGTGGCGAACATAGAATATGTCAAACTGACACAAACGTACAACGCATCGAACACACAGAGACATGACAAGTTTTATGACAGCTGATGCCTTATCTCATCACTTGACTTCGCCTTGAGTAGTGGAGTCGAGTAGCAGATTCAAATAAACAATAGCAACAACCGAAATATCCACCGCCCGCTTCGCTTTGTTGCTTCATAAATCATATCCTGCACCATCCAGCCTTACTGAAGAGCAATTCGTTTAATTATCAATTCAATTTGTACGGCTTTGTACAAATGCGAAAGAGCAAACAAGTCATCCATCCAGCAAACAAACTTGGCAACAAAGTTTCCATATTTTACAGTTTTCTTGTCCGTTTTTCCGTTCGCCTCGCAATAAGCTTTTAAGTATTTTGCAAGCAATTCATTTGATGCCTCAAACACCAGCTTCTCGCCTTCCCGCCACTTTCGTTACCAATGAGATTCTTTCATTTCGGGTTAGTTTCTCCGTAGAAAGATTCTAAAATGATGGCAAAAACGAAGAAGAAGTATAAAGCACGCAGCGATGAAATGACTCACAAAATGGAAAACATCTCAACAACAATGCCCGAATTGCATTGTATCCTCACCGACAAAAAGGAAGCCAGAAATGCAATGTTTGTGGGGATTGCAATAGGACCCTTGCAAATCCTTTAAATAACTTATCATCGAAAACGAACCCAGCTCGTAATTTGACCAACAACGAAACAGGAATCTTGTACCGAGCTATCCCACTAGCGCACAGCCCAGGTTGGGCTGCACTGCGAACAGTCAGCTGCGAGCTATATATGGCAAAGCAATAAACGATTGGATGAAACATAAAAGGCCAAAAGGAGAAAACGTTGCAAAATACTAAACAGCTTAACATTTACAGCGGAAATGCACATCCCCCTAACATTGGCCCTGGGGAATCACATACATTGCAACTTTGGAATTTACTTAAAGTTGGCGATTGTTTGGTTAACTGGCGCCGACTTCACGTCTTCAACAACACGAGATGCGGGGGTAATGGCTGTTGGTGCAAAACCATCGCCAATTGAAGGACTGCCTTTGTTTAGTGGGATGAATTTACGAATAAATATTAAGAAAATCAATGAATGTATACAAAAAAAAACATCTGCAAGAACTGTAGTATATGAGGCTTATACAAATGGATTGGGTCCAATCCATGTCAGTTCTGCCAAACTCGCTTTTCTTTGGGTAAATATGTATTTTCATGTATCTAATAACTTACTCAATGGATGATGGTTAAGCCCTGAATCCAACTGTTTAGCCACATGTATACTCGATAATAAATCTCCGAAAAATTATAATAAAGCACTGAAATTACCAATTAATTTCCATCCTTCCGAATGAAGATAAATTCTAATAAATGATCCAAGAGGGAGAAAATATGGCAACAGGGCCTATTACGAAATTTCCCAACAGGTATCTTTCATACCCACACAAGTTCTCTCGCCAACAGCTGCAGCCAACATGGGTCGTGTTCGTATTTATGCGTCATTAAACGAATATTAGATACGAACAATATTTTGCTTATCCAGTGAAAGCTAATGAAATAATTATTAGCAGAGGTAACGATACGTTTGGTTGGCTTTGTGGTGCGGCAGACAAGAAGGAACAAAAATGGGCATAAGAGTTTGATTCACAAACAGAGATTTCAACACTTACAATAGTGAGCAGACAGGCAGTTGCCATACTGCTTCGAATCTACTGTGCTATATATTGGAGTTTAAAGTCTTTCACTGAGGTCTAAAGTTTAGACCAACTTTCGACTTCAGTGACGGTGATTTTACACAATATGTATCTTACATATGTGTGTGTGCTGTCACTTATATGAAACTCGGATTTTGTCGTGTGAAACCTACCGAAATTTCAATGTGTCAAAGCGATATGTAATTACATAGCATGTATTTTTTCCGAATAGGACGCGCTCTGCTTTCTTATGTAAAACATTACACAAATCAGAACAATGAATTTTTGAGGTATTAAAAAATGTGTTTTCTAATTGTAAAATTTTGTTAAAATGCCAAAGTTATAAATTGAAAATATATTTAAGGATACTAAAAAGTTTAAAATAATACTAAAAATATTGGACAACATATATTTTTGCAGATACCAATAGGTGAATATGTTTTTCATAAACTATCTTATGCCAGAACCAAAAATGTGAAACAATAAATGACAGAAATGATGATTGTTATTTGTGGTTTCAGATTCGTTTACTATTCGCTAGAAAATAGAGGTCTTAACATTTGCAAAAGCTCGAAGTTTTGATCTGAGACCATATTGAGCG